GATGCGGGACTCGATCCAGGGACTCCAGGATCATGACCTGAGCCGAAGGCAGTCGCTTAACCAACTGAGCCACCCAGGCGCCCTAATTTTTCATTTTTAATGTAGTTAAGTCTTTCGATCTTTTCCTTTGTGGCTTTTGGATAGTCTATCTTTCTTGCAAAAGTCTCCCAAGGGTATAAAAATATTCTCCGCATTTTTCATTTGTCATACTGACAAAAATTAAAAAGAGTGATAACACTCAGCATTGGTGGGAGAGCTGGGAAATGATCTTGTCATACCCTACTGGTAGGAATGTGAGTTTTGACAGCCATTTGGAAAGTAATTGGCTGTAACTAATAACGTGTAAAAGTGCACATTTCCTTTGTTTCAGCAACCCCATTTTGGGACATCTTTTCCACAAAAATAAAAACATTGGTTCACAAAAGCATATGTACAAATATGTTCGGTTCATCAGTATTGTGTATGGGGCAAAAATGAGAAACAACTTGAATGTCAACCAGTAAGGCAACAGCTGAATGAATTGGGTGGCAGAGTCAAACTATAGTATATTTTACTGTTAAGAGAATGATTTTGCAGAACTTAATGTCACAGACTGTACACTTAAAAATGGTTAAAATTATAAATATTATGTTTATTTTACTACACTAAGAAAAAGAAAAAATAGAATGATTTACCCCCAGTGTCCTGGAGAAATGGCCATGAAAATTTTTAAGAAAAAAATCCATGTTTCATGTAAAGTGAGTGTATGTGTTTGTGTGTTAATAGGAAAAGGTATGAAAGGATATAAACTAAATTTTTTTGGTAAAAATTTTATTAGTTTAAAGTAATCTCTATACCCAACATGGGGCTCAAATTCACAACCCTGAGATCAAGAGTCACATTCTCCACCGACAGAGGCAGCCAAGTGCCCTGGATACAAACTAAATATCATTAGTGATCTCCGGGAGTGTGAAGTATTTATTACTTGACTTGTAACAAGGAGCATGAATTTAGAGCTCAGACCTAGGCTCAAGTCCCAGCTCCACCACTGAATTGATGTATGAGCTGGATGACTTACATGATAGCGTCTTCATTTGTAAAACAGGGAGAGAGCTAGTAACTGCCCTGTTAGAACTGTTGGGAGGCATAGACATGAGAACAGTGACTGCCACAATAAATTATACTGCCGTCATTATTGTCTCTTTCCGTGTCTTCATGATACCCTATCCATTCTTCCATCCATCACGACTTTTACTGGAATTGTCAAAAGATTTGATTAAGAATCAGGAGAGAAAAAAGAGAAACAAAAGCAAATTTTGAGAAGCCTAAAAATGAGGGGATTCACATCATATTAGTTTCAGATCTCACTAGAGCTAGCTTGTGTCTGAGGCCATCTGAGATGTCTGAGCTTTGGCCCTAAAGGACTGGAACAATTTTGGAGACATCTGGTCTAGATTTCTTTCTTTTTGGCCTGTCATCACATCATATCACATCACATCACATTTAAGGTACTCTTAAGATTCACAGCCTAGCAGTTTTCTTCTCAACATCTCCACACCTTCTCTATTGCTCTTTGGTATACCTACTGTCATCTTCCTCTTTTCTCCTGCCCAGTCAACAACTTCTTGCATGGTAAATGTTTTCTCTTAGTTACCGGAACTCTCTTCTTCACTGGCGAACTGATAAGACCTGGAGTTGTTATATTTGCTATGTGAGTCACAAACACTAGTTTATCCAGTCCCAACCTTGCCACTTTCATAGACTACTAACACATTAATATTCTTTGTGTTGAGAAATCTGGAGCTTTCAAGCAGTGATTAGATTTTTTTCTTGTGCTTTACAACATTTCACATTCCATAAATCTCATTAATATTATATGTGAAGTATACCAATAACTTCTCCTGGTTTATTTTACCCTTAAAGGCACTAACATATGGATTCAAAAATCTCTTCTCAGACCAGGATGGCAATGAACTTCCCTGATAGTAAAGGGCCCTCAAATTTATTATGATGCTTGCAACTAAAACCAAACTGTAGCTCTTTTCATTGATCCCAGGATTTCTCATTTCCCTATTTCCTTCTGCCATCCTTATATTTATTCCTTCTTTGTTTCCTTCCTTTTCCCCTGCTCTTCTCCCTCTCCTCAAACATTCCTAATCAGCTTCTGTGTGTCAGACACCCAGTAACAAAGCTTGAGCAAAACAGACCTTCTCATTGTCATGGAACTTACAAATTACAGCGATAAGTGCTATAATTTCAAATAGCACCTAGTAGGAAACACAGGACCCTGTGAGAAATCAGTGTAGATGAAGGCTTCATCCAGGAAGTGGCAGCTGAGCTGGGGTAGAAGCATGAGGAGGACTTAGCTAGGCATCTCCTCCCATTTAGAGCTGGCGGGGAGGGGGGTGGGCAGAGACCAGGACTGTCAGAGCACCAGTCCCCGGGGCTGCTTGCCAGAAGTGCTCATAAATATTTGTGGGAGTAAGGAACAGTGGGAAAAACATAAAATCAATGAAAATGTGTCTGTGTTGTTTTGAAACTAATCAATTAATGATGTAACTGTTACTAATTAAAAGATATCCAAAGTGAAAAACAGAAGGAGAAAGTGGCACAAGATGAGCAGCCAAATCATACTCAGGATATGGAGGGATTTTAGTCTCTATCCTCACAGCCATTAGAAGCCATGGAAGCGTTATTTTTTACAGCTAATGTTTTTTAAAAAAATACCTATTATGTTCTAAAGCTAAAGACTACTTGCATGATTTCATTTAATCCTTGAAGCAATCCTATGATAGTACTATTAGGATGCCAATTTTACAGACGGAGGACACTGAAATGTAGAGGTTGTTTGCTCAACACTGTTAATAAGTGGCAGAGGCTTGGCTCCAAAACCCCTTATTCTTAACCACTATATTACACATGCTATGAGCAAGAAAGAGAAGTAGGTAAGCAAGTATGAACAGCTGATTCTAATCTCTTTGGCAGGAACAGCCCCACTGTGGAGTTGGTAGCATAGGGGTATCAGGGTTTAACGAGCTAATCATTAAATTTAACTAATCCCCTTGTTCTGACTCCATATTAACCAAATAACCTTCTAATTATATTCTGGCTCTCCATATAGATTTTTCTGCTGGGAGATCATGCACTGACCAGCCTACACACGCAATTTGTTCCAGTTGGCAATTTTTTTACTCATTGTGAGTTAATAAATTGGCATTGTGCTTTAAAAAAAAAAAAATGAAATACACTAAAGAAAAATAATGAAATAGTCTTATACTGTTGTTTTTCTGTGGTTAGTTTTAAAAATAAAAACATACATGTTGGGCACCTGGGTGGCTCAGATGGTTAAGCGTCTGCCTTCAGCTCAGGTCATGATCCCAGGGTCCTGGGATCGAGTCCCACATCGGGCTCCCTGCTAGGCGGGGAGCCTGCTTCTCTCTCTCTCTCTCTCTGACTCTCATGAATAAATAAATAAAACATTAAAAAAAAAAAAAACATACATGTTGTCTCTTCTGTGATTTAACCCCGCTGCCTGCTTTGAGCCACCATGGATGTGGTCAGAAAGTCAAAGCCCCTAGCACAGCCCAAGGGCTCCCATTGTTTCCCAGTGGCAAACTCCCACCTTTCCTCCAGCAGCTGACAGGTTTGTTCTTCAGAATTTAGCTAATTCTCTGAGCGTTAAAGCAGCTGGAGGCTGCTCCAAGGAGTCCCATTCATCTCCCCAGGGTAACATGCATCCTATCCTAGGAGCAGGCCATTCTCTAATAACATCATTAAACCCGATGTTAATGCACTCGGGACCACCAGGACCCCAGCGCCTGTCGGACTTGCACAGTCTCAGCCCTCTCAGCCCCTGGAGAAGAGGAAGGGACATCTGCCCTCCTTCCCACTTGTGGGCTCCTTCCAAACGCGGACTCCATGAAATCGTTCCCGTCTCCCTACTCCTTGTTGGCTCATTTTGTTTTGTTCTTTTTTCTTCTCTCCCTTCATGGGCAAAACTGGGACAAACGCAGGTGGATCTTTAAAGCGAACGCTTCATGAAATGGACCATTTCATCTTACCAAGAGATCTGCTTAATCACATACAAAGGCTAAAATAGGGCTTTTCCCCCAAGAAAAATATTCAACAGTCTCCTGAACAGAGGATTGAAAGGACACTCTACACAGTGATTATTTTCCCCTCCAAGACATTGGAAAGTCAGCAAGTGCCAGGTCAGCCTTGTGAGGGGCCTCCTTTCTTGGACGGAGAAAAGGCCGGAGCCGAAGGGGCTGGAGTGCGGCCCTCCCTGCAGGAGCAACAAAGGGAAAGGGCCTCTCTCAGAAACTTTAGCGCTGGGGTGGAGTAAGACAGCAGTTGATGACAGAACTCTCGTTATTCTGCTTTTCGGCCATTTTCACCACCGAGGCATCAACCAAGAAATTACTAGCAACCCTCAGGATTTCCAGCCGCCAGCCCCGCGCGGGGTGGGGATGAATAAGGCAGTGCAAAGAATCGTGCGCTGACCAGCCAAGATGGCCACTTTCACACGGCTGAGGGCCACTGGCTCCCTGTCCCCAGGGCATCTAAAGGCGGGGCCGGTCGGAAAGACCCTCGGGCAGAGCCTGAGGACAAAACCTCTGCCGATTCTCGCCGTCGCCGCTGGGGGACGCGACCTCGCGGACAGACAGCTCGGTCAACGGTCGGGAGGGAAGTGCCATGTCGCAGCAAGGGGAACAGGCCCACAAAGTCCTCGTCGCTTTTCCAGCCACTTCGAATACGGAAGGGTACAAGGGCCCCAAGCACTCGCATCTCCACTTAGCCCTGTTAGAAGTGCTTGAGATAACTAAATATTCGCAGGAGGGGCGCGTTACCTCCGCTCGCTCCCCCTGCCACGCGAAATGGTTCAGCCCAGCCTCCCCTTCGGCGCCCCGCCCCTTCGGCCTACCCCCGCGCTAGTGGCGCATTGGCGCGCGGCGCTGAGGGGCGGGGCCCGGGCCGGGCGCGCGCTGGCGCTGTGTATAAATACTGGGCCGCATCGCCCGCCGCCTCGTTCGCTCTGCGCCGCCCGCCCGAGCTGAGTAGGACGCAGTCTTCTGCTTGTGCATTTCGCAGTCGTCGCCTCGCCGCTCCCTTTTTCCTCAACGCCACTTACACTCACCGCTACGAACACCAACATGAACGGGCAGCTCAACGGCTTTCACGAGGCGTTCATCGAGGAGGGCACGTTCCTCTTCACCTCAGAGTCTGTGGGGGAAGGCCACCCAGGTGAGGTGACGGGCCCTGGAGCGAAGTGAGGGGCGGGGCATGGGCAGGGCCGGCCGGGAGCCGCCGGCCGCGGTGCCCGCGCTGGGTGCCCTCGCCCGGCGGGCGGTGGGAAGAGCGGCGGCCGCGCGCTTTCCTCGTGGCGCCGCCGGTGCCGAGCGCGTGGCCGCCGTTCCCCTCCCCCTTCCTCTCCTCTCCTCTCCTCTCCTCCCATCCGGCCGCGCGCCTCGGCATGCGGAAGATTCCAGAAAACGAGAAGGGCGGGGGCCGGGGCAGCTGTGCTCCACTCGGGGAGGGCACTATTTCCTCATCTCCGCCCCGCCGTCTGAAAGCCCTCGAGTGGGCGACCGGCCCTGAGTGCTCGCGGCCGGTCCTCGGGAGCGCGCGCCCCGCATTGCAGCCGCAACCACGTGTTTGCCGCATGTGGCATCTGGGCGAGGGGGAGCCGTCGGGCTCCCGGCGCGCCCGGGTGTGCGGAGTGGGGGGCCCGGGCCTCGGGACGTCTGCCGTTGGCGTTAGTTCCTTGCCTTGGGCCATTACGGCCCCCAGAAGAAGACGGACGTGCCTTTCGGCAATATATGGCCTTGCCGTCAAGGTGACAGCCTCCAACTAAATATAGCGCAGGTTGGGGGAGGCCTTCCTTTTTTGGACCACGTTTGAAAAGGAAACGTGAATTAAGTGTAAGCTGCCTTGCGTTGGATTTCCCTTTAAAGTCTTTGGTGCTTTGCCGTTAGGAAAGGTTTTACCGAACATTTCCTTCTCCGGGCTTTGTCCACTAGTCCGCCATTATGGAGATCAGTTTACACGTGAACGAGTGAAGCTGTTTGAAGGAACTTTCAATCTCAGCCTGAAAACCTCACCTAGTGGAGATCACTGTTTTGCTGTACCGGTTCTGCCTTTTCTTGGGATGACCACGGTGGCATAGTTGTCTAGTCTAATGGTTTTAAGGATCCGTTTCTCTCTAGTCTCCTGTGCCTCTGATGAAATCCCACAAGCAACCTAGTGGAGTAGGAGAGGACAGACGTCAAGATCCTGATTGAGGGAAGGTCATGTGTTGTGGTGGGGGTTACCCACCTTCCCTCGAGTGTTGAGAACTTCACATGTATTTGATCCACGTTTTATTAATTTAATCACGTAAGTCACAGGCGCTTATAGCAGTTTGTAAATTAAATCTTGAGCCTCTGACTTGATTGCAGTACACATCTTGCTTTAATTGTTCCGGATGATTGTAGAAAATTCAGGAAAGTGGTAATTTCTGTTCTCCCACTTTTTAATAGATCGCAATACAGTGGGGAAGTAACAAGGATTCAGAATACATTTGGACATTTTTCCAGTCTGTTCAGGTCATGTTCCTGGACTACACCTGACAAAATTTTTTATTCCTTCTGTTCGTAAAGTGTCCTTTTATTGTTTAACTCTTGACATTTTTTGTTGCTCTGATTAGTGTTCCTTAGGATCAGGGAGAAATTGATAAGGGGGGGACGGTTCACCTTTCTGGTTGGTTAGATTTATAATGAAGACTTTAAATTTGGGGGATAAAATGTAAGTATAATTGTCCTTGAAAAATAATACTGTATAGCGAAATGCTTCCCAGCTTTCCTTTTGGGTTTGAAGATAAACTTTCTGCTTTAACTTAATTCCAATTATGTGGCTGTTCTGTTTAACAGTGGAAATTGTTTTGCCTGGGAACTTAATTTTTCAAAATGTCTGAAATACTTTAGAGATGGGATGAAATCCTTCCAAGGTGTAAATTGCATGAATCACAATGAATTTAAATGTATTAAAAGTGCTGGGCGTTCTGCTGGCTAATCTGAATTGGTGAGCTTGTGGTGCAGCTATATTAAGACTGGTGTCAAGTTTTCAAGTAATATGTGACATTATATCCAGCATTTATTCTTCAGGCACATGGTTTCTGGTAAAGCAGTACTTTAATTAACAGCAGTTAAGATCTCCATAGTTGAAATGCCACTGAATTCTATGCTTGAAAATGGTTAAATTGGTAAATTTTATGTTCTGTAGGTTTTACCACAATTTTTAAAAGAAAGCTCTCCCAAAGATCTGTGCAGCAGTACTTACAAGGAGGAATGACATACATTCACTGACAGTAAGATAAAGAGATTGAGCCAGGAATCTTTTTTTCTACAGATAAGATTTGTGACCAGATCAGCGATGCTGTGCTTGATGCCCACCTTCAGCAGGACCCTGATGCCAAAGTGGCTTGTGGTAGGTTCTAAACACTGCTTGCTTATCAACTGAAGAAAAGTTAACATCGTGAAAATTACTTTGTAAGAGTGACAGTTGAGTGTGAATTTATCTTTTATTAGAAACTGTTGCTAAAACTGGAATGATCCTTCTTGCTGGGGAAATTACGTCCAGAGCTGCTGTTGACTACCAGAAAGTGGTTCGTGAAACCATTAAACACATTGGATATGATGATTCTTCCAAAGGTGTGTTTTAATGAGTTGGCTTTTCTAAGCTCATTTTTCCACGTTTTCAGCTCTCTCTAGCTCTGTCCTCAGAGTGTTCCTGCTAAACCATTAACTCCAGTTGTACATTTACTATCTGTTTTGTTCTAGCCCTGTTTAATTCTCTAAAAGTTCTAAGTTTTAGGTGTACAAGTTTCCCCCGCTATCCAAAAATGGGACGTTCCCATGAAACTTACAAGCCAAGATGACGCAAAGTATGGCTTCATTTTTACAGTAGACCTACATTAGTACATAGTTTTTTTTGTAAAAGCGTAAATCCTCTGCAGATTCTTTTCAGTTAATGAAAAGTACTGGTGTAGGTCTTTCCTAAAAGTGAAGTGGTGAAACACTAACTTTTGAAAGGTGGGAGGGGGCAGGGATACCTGTATTTGGTTTCTTTAGCTGTATTTAAAATCCCAGATAATTACTGTAAATAGAAGGCACTGGTATTGCTTTGGCCCTTTTTTTTCTTAAGGCATTGTTTTGTTTGTAGGGTTTGACTACAAGACTTGTAATGTGCTGGTAGCCTTGGAGCAACAGTCACCAGATATTGCTCAAGGTGTTCATCTTGACCGGAACGAGGAAGACATTGGTGCAGGGGACCAGGTACCTTGGTGTAGACTCTATCTGCATCTCTTCTAACATTTAAATTCCGAAGCTTAGATTGATCGCATTGACTTTTTCCTTTCTTAGGGTTTGATGTTTGGTTATGCCACTGATGAAACTGAGGAATGTATGCCTTTAACTATTGTCTTAGCGCACAAGCTCAATGCAAAACTGGCTGAATTACGCCGCAATGGCACTTTGCCTTGGTTACGCCCAGATTCTAAAACTCAAGTAAGTGATTATAAAGCTAGATTACACATACTGCACAGAACATCAGTAAAGTTGTTTAAAGCTAACTGAAAAAAGACTATCCTTCCGTATTGTAATTTAGCTTTGTCTTGGCTCTATTCTGTCTAGTAAACTGATGTTCTGATCATCTGCTTTGCCTTCAAGGTGACTGTGCAGTACATGCAGGATCGAGGTGCTGTGCTTCCCATCAGAGTCCACACAATTGTTATATCTGTTCAGCATGATGAAGAGGTTTGTCTTGATGAGATGAGGGATGCTCTAAAGGAGAAAGTCATCAAAGCAGTTGTACCTGCAAAATACCTTGATGAGGATACAATCTATCATCTACAGCCAAGTGGCAGATTTGTTATTGGTGGGCCTCAGGTAAGGCCTTATGATACAATTTGACTTTTTTGAATTTTCTGTAGTGGTTACTTGCAAATTTGGCTACTATAACTCCCCCCACCCCCCATTTTTATAAGTCTGCATGTGAATCTTCTGAGGATATCTGCTGAGTGGTACAGAATAGGCGTGTAACAAACCTGACCTAGAACCATTTATTGGAAAGCACTAGGCATAAAGTGACTAAAATCCTGTAATTTCAGGGTGATGCTGGTTTGACTGGCCGGAAAATCATTGTGGACACTTACGGCGGTTGGGGAGCTCATGGAGGAGGTGCCTTTTCAGGAAAAGATTATACCAAGGTGGACCGTTCAGCTGCTTATGCTGCCCGTTGGGTGGCAAAATCCCTTGTTAAAGGAGGTCTGTGCAGAAGGGTTCTTGTTCAGGTATATACTCTTTTGTGTAACTGGAGTGATTAGAAGGCATGCAAGTGGGAGGGCATTTAGCGTAGTATTTGTCTTTTTTTAAATACCAGTGTGTTACATAAGCGTGTGGGTCTTTTAATCACTGACTCTTATGACATTTGAATCCTTTTAGGTCTCTTATGCTATTGGAGTTTCTCATCCATTGTCTATCTCCATTTTCCATTATGGCACCTCTCAGAAGAGTGAGAGAGAGCTATTAGAGATTGTGAAGAAGAATTTTGACCTCCGCCCTGGGGTCATTGTCAGGTAAAGATGGTAAAGCCTATTGCTAGTCAAAAATGGTGTGGGTGTGTGTATATACATATATTTGAGATACATTCAAATCAGAGAAGGTGAAGGTCTTGAAGACTCCTTAAGTGGGGAAATGTTTTAATTCCTAGAACTGTTGATGTTATCTTTAAATTGCCTTTAGTAAAGGCTTATGTTAAGAACAGTCTAAAATTGCAGTGCTCCATGGCTTAGACTAACCACCCTAGAAAGTCTTCCACATTTGATACGGGGATTTGTGCTCGTTATCTAAGGATGTTTATTTTACTTAAAAGAAATTAGTACAGATAAGTGGGATATTCAAGGCTGCTATAAAGAAAATAAACAGGGTGTGGGCATGGGACCTTGGTAAGTATACCATGATCTCAGATGAGCTTTTGACACTTGGAATTTCTCAGAATAATGACAAGTTTTCATATTTGTTGAGCCAAGGATGGAAAAACAAGAACTGTAGTTACTAATAAGGACTGTGCGAGGAGTTTGGACACCAGGGAAGTAACAAACACTTCTGCCACAAACTTTTTTCCTAGCAAACCCCAGAGAACTGAACTCATTTGCCAGAACTCTTGAAAATGAGTCTTGCTGATTGTTTTGCTTTATTTTAATTGAATGCTACATATTAAGTTACGGACTTGTATATTCCAGGGATCTGGATCTGAAGAAGCCAATTTATCAGAGGACTGCAGCCTATGGCCACTTTGGTAGGGACAGCTTCCCATGGGAAGTGCCCAAAAAGCTTAAATATTGAAAGTGTTAGCCTTTTTTCCCCAGACTTGTTGGCGTAGGCTACAGAGAAGCCTTCAAGCTCTGAGGGAAAGGGCCCTTCTTCCTAAATTTTCCTGTCCTCTTTCAGCTCCTGATCAGTTGCAGTCACTCCTAGTTCAATGACATGAATTTTAGCTTGTGTGGGGGACTGTAAGTTGGGCTTGCTATTCTGTCCCTAGGTGTTTTGTTCACCATTATAATGAATTTAGTGAGCATAGGTGATCCATGTAACTGCCTAGAAACAAACCAACAACACTGTAGTAAATAATGCTTTTTGAAATTGAACCTTTGTGCCCTATCACCCAACCTTCTAAAATCCTAATTGCATTGACTTTCCCACCAAATGCTGAAAATGTCCTGTAATGTGCACGTAAAGTACTTGTAGTTCCATTATAGCCTCTGTCTGGCAATGCCATAGCCCTGTCAGCATGAATTTGTAATGTCTTGAGCTCTATTATGAATGTGAAGCCTTCCCTTATCTTCCCTATAACTTAATCCATTTCTAATTATGTAGCTCTTTGTCAGGGAGTGTTCCCTATCCAATCATTCTTGCATGTAACGCAAGTTCCAGTTGGAGCTCTAGCCTGACAAAAAAAAAAAAAAAAAGGCAGTTACCATTAAACCATCTCCCTGGTGCTTATGCTCTTAATTGCCATCTCTTAAATAGCACCAAATCAAAATCTCTCCACTTTTCAGCTGTCTTTTGGAGGACGTACGTAATAAGGTTTTTATTTAGTAAACCAACCCTATGCATGGTTTCAGCACTAGCCAAACCACCAACTCCTAGCTCTAGAAAAACAGGCACTTGGCACCCTTGTGATGTCATACAGAGAAGTCACAGGGCAGTACCTGAGGGTCTGTAGGTTGCACACTTTGGTACCAGATAACTTTTTTTTTTTCTTTATAAGAAAGACTGAGTACTCCACACTGCACAATAATTCCTCCCAGGGTTTTAACTTTGTTTTATTTTCAAAACCAGGTCCAATGAGCTTTCTGAACAGCTGGTGTAGCTACAGAGAAACCAGCTTCCTTCAGAGAGCAGTGCTTTTGGCGGGGAGGAGGAAATCCCTTCATACTTGAACATTTTCTAATTGCTTATTTATTGTATTCTGGGGTATGGCGTAAGTACAGAGAAGCCATCACCTCAGATGGCAGCTTTTAAAAGATTTTTTTTTTTTTTTTTCCTCAACACCATGATTCCTTTAACAACATGTTTCCAGCATTCCCAGGTAGGCCAAGGTGTCCTACAGAAAAACCTTGGGTTAGACCTACAGGGGGTCTGGCTGGTGTTAACAGAAGGGAGGGCAGAGCTGGTGCGGCTGGCCATGGAGAAAGCTGACTTGGCTGGTGTGGTACAGAGAAGCCAGCTTGTTTACATGCTTATTCCATGACTGCTTGCCCTAAGCAGAAAGTGCCTTTCAGGATCTATTTTTGGAGGTTTATTACGTATGTCTGGTTCTCAATTCCAACAGTTTAATGAAGATCTAAATAAAATGCTAGGTTCTACCTTAACTGTCTCCATTATTCTTTAAAAGTGTTTTGGTATGAACATGATCTGAGAACATATTCTTCATCCCTTAATAATTTGAGGTAATCCTTCCCCATGGTTCAGGGAAATCACCTCAAACCCCTTCAAACCATGACTTGCAAGCATTTTAATAGGTTTGTACATCCTATCTCTAGCACTAAGAAGAACATCCCAAGATTTGATCTGTTTGTCCAGCACTGCCTGTTTGGCTGATGCAATTGCCAAGATCCATGTGTCCTTACTGCAGCAGCCACTCAACTGCCAGTTAATGTTTTAAAATTGTCCAAGATTAAGAACAAAACGTGGAGGGAATGGTAATGTTCTGTCTTGAAACGTAAACCCATTATCTAGCTTTCCAGTGAAAAAGTTTTTACTTAGATATGCCTTAAGTATTATTAATACCTTTATTATAAACAGGCGTTAAGGCTGCAAGTTACATACATGTTCAGTACATGATACAATTTGGCAAAATTTTTGAACAGTGGTGAGGGGGCCAGGTTCTAATCTGTAAGATAGGTCACGAAATTACAGTGAAGATGCTGTAAGTTTCTAAAACCTTTATTCTGAGTTTGTAGAGGTCTACTCAAGAACCATCCCTTTTTAAGCCTAGGAGCTAAAGTACAGATAGCCATTTGGCACGTGTTTACACAAGCATGTATGAAAATCAAGTAGTGGTGTGAGGCCCAAGGAATGCTTGATTATACCTATTTGGAGGCTTAAAAATGTATAACTGTTGGGAGGGAAGGCAAAGTTAAATCTGAAGGTCTTTAAAAGTTTCAAAAAAGCCTTATCTAGAGAATAGTGCATTGCTGTAAAAACAACCATGCTGGTCAAATAAGGGGAATGGGGAAGAGCTGGGTGCCTGTAGGCTGGTGGGACAGCACCAGAGAAATTGTTAGGTTCGGTATTTACTAGGAAGATACTGGACCTCAAGGAGCTTGGAGAAGAATCTTTTGTAAAAAGGCCCTGTCTTCTGCCTAACATGGGGGGAAAAGATTCTAAAAATAAGGTGAAGAAATAGTAACCAGCCCAGGGAGAAAAGCAAAGGTGTCAAATGGGGTGATGGTGACTACAAATGGTTGAATATCAAAGCATGCCATGTTATGGAAAAGTTTTGAAGGGATGACCTGGCCAGCGACAAAAGATCCAAATGCTGGGAGTAGAATGAAATGGAATACTAAAGCCCGGCTAAAAGGATGTTGATAGCCCATTCCTATAACAGCTACACGGGGCCCGATTTCTCCTGAATCTGAACTCCTTTATTCCATTGAACAGCTTTTCTCGTAAACAGTATTGAGACGACCACCTTTCCACTCCATCCCACCCCAACATTTTCACTGGGAGAAAGAGGTGGTATGCTCACAGTTTTGGGATAGCATCCTTGCCTATATCAAAACTACTGTAAGAGTCCCTTCCCCAAATGAAGAACGACTTTTCTTACCAGTCGAGTAATGAGCTGGGGTGGGGGGGGTAGTGCAGGGGAACAGAAGATAGCTGAACTTACTAGCAAAGGACATTATGCCAAGGTATATTGCGTCACTGAGATCTGCAAAACTATTGAGAACCAGTGTTCCCCCCCACACTATTCTTGACAAGTGATCAAGATACCCGGTGGCTCAGCTACAGCTAGCTAACCCACACAATGCCTCGTAGGAATCAGGCTTCCGCGGGATGCCCTGATTCAGGCCCAACTGCACCTGCTCCGGTCTATCTCTACCTAGATTCCAATATAAAGGGTGAAAGAACACAGAGGTAGTAGAGATGAATAGACTGAAGAAGAGGTAGAACTGATACAACTTGGAGTTTGAGAAATGTGAGGGAAAAAAAGGAAGACTCAAGACAAGATATTCTGACGGCTTGGCCAGAAAAAATGCAGTTGCCACTCACTAATAGAGAAGCAGGTCTGAGTTGGGGATGAATTAAGTTCTGCTTAGGACAGAGTTTGAAAGCTTTGCGGGATATCCAGGTGGAGCTAGTTAGATCTATAGGCCCAGGGCCCAAGAAAGCAAGCTAAGCAGCAGCAGCAGCACTAGAAACCATGAGGGGGACATAACCATCCCAAGTGTGTACAGTGAAAAGGCAGCTGCCTGGGAGAGAACCACCGACGGGGGGCGGGGCGGGGGGGTTGGGAAGCGAAGCCTGAAAACAGAGATGCCATCCTTCATCAAAGTTACTGGGACTGCCAATTTACTGCTAGTCTTTGCTGTGAGACCATGAACAAGCACCCAGAGCAGGAGCCTTTTTTTTTTTTTCTTGTTTCTCTATACACTCTTACTTCCTAGCCCAATGCTAGGCTTTTGAGTTTTCAAGGAATTGAGGTGCTTCCTCAATCACCCTGTATATCCAAACCTACAAAATAACTGCAAACATACCCTAATCCATCACAAAGTTTGGTTAATCCCTACTTTACATCACTTTCTGCCCATCAAAGGCTAGAATGAGGCTAAATACACTGAACTTGAGAGAACTACTACCGATCATCTAAATTTCCTTATTAGTTTAACCTTGTCCTCCTATTCTAACTATTCTCATAGCTGCTAGTGAAACACTTACTGGCTGTATACATAATAGGAACCATGAGGAAACTACAACTGTAGGGAAGAGAAAATTACTCTGTGACTTTAGAACTTGATCACCATCCTAAGTAACTAAGAAGAAAAATTTGAAGCTACATTATTTCATAATCAATGTCAGTGATTCTGCAAATGACAAAAGGCAGGGTACGGGACCTTAGGTCAAACAGACGAGATTCAAACCATCCATACATCTCCTACTAGGTACTGCCTTTGAGCAAGTTCTGTTGTCTCAGCCTCACTTTCTCCAGCTGTCAGACTGAGCTCATGGTCAGTAAGGACTAAATGCAGTAATATAGGCACAACGCTTCACACAGTGCCTGGCATATGACAAGTACTTGAGAACAGTGAGGTGTTGCTGTCATCATGGTACATTAAATCTCTTTCCCCAAGGAGCCAGTCACTTTAAACCTCTTACCCCTTTAGCCTAGAAGGGCATTTTCATACTGCTTTTAAACCCCTCCTGGCTCCTCAACCTTGATTTGATAAAGCTTATCCTTGCTTGGCTTCTCTAAGGTATCCTCTCTGAATTTAAAAGAACTATAGACAAGGAAAAAAATGCATAAAATATCATTTTCTTCACATTTCCACTGCATAGGTTAATGGTCCTATGACTGGTTGCTCCCACATCTGTACCCACCATCTGCCCCCATCAGAACTCTGAGTGGACAGGGTCAGAATTTGGCTCAGGAGGATCAGAATTTGAAGAATCTGTGTTTGAATGACTCGACTCTCCAATTGGCTCAAAGGGTCGCAAGTTTGCGTAAGTCACCTCTTGGGCCAGCTGCTCCAGGGAAGGGCGGCCTAATACCAGATTTCGAAGTGAGATACAAGTCATCAGGAAGCTGAAAAAGAGGGAAAAGGTCACCCAGTCTAAACTCCTGTTTCTACATAGGAATTCCTGCCAAAGCCCTTAGGGCTACTTGATCCTACCTTCTCTCATCCAGGCAGAAGCAAAAATATCCCCCTAGTGACCCACCCATCCCAGCTGGAAGGGCACCCCACTCTTTATATGGTCTGGTAGAGGATTCCAGAGTGGGGTAGGAATAACACACAAGAGGCTGGTGATAAGCTGAGGTGGAACAAGACAGCAGGCCATCAGACACAGATCATTTACTCTTCCATTAAGTCAGGGAAAGGAGAATGGAGAGGGAAAAAGATACTTAGCACTAGACTGTCTTTTCCTGGGAGAGTACCATCCCCCCCCCCCCCCCATCATTACCTTCACCAGAGAAAAGTTACCCAACTCGCAAGCATCTGATGGCAATGACTAGTACTGTTGTGGAAAACTTACCTGCGGCGAAAGATATAGAGCTTCCGCAGCAAGAAGCGGAAGAGGCGCTCGTGGAAAGGGGTATTTCTCCGGCGCTCAAGCTCTTGGAGCCTTCGCTGGCGTCTAAGAAAGGTCTGAACCAGCGGTGTTGGCTCAGGGCCCCCTTGTACTTCCCCTTCCAGCAGAGGTTGCAGCTCTGGAGGTAGAGGCCCCGTTTCTGCCCAGAAGATGGCAAAAAGAGGAATCACTGAGATTATTCTTTTAGAACTCTCACCAGCCAGAACCTTCCAGTTCCTTCTTTAATGGCCAGATCCTCATTCACAGCCCTGATTTCTCATAACCAGGTGCCTTCTCAGCCCAACTCTTCATATACTCACCAGTTCCATTCTCCACCTTCTCCTTTAATTCTTGTAGATAAGCCAAGTCTTGCTCCAATGCAAGCTCTGTAGTATTGATGTAGATGTACATGTAGCAGGAAGGACTGGGTGATATCGTATACACCTTATGGTACTCACCAGCGGGCAACTGACAAGGGGGAGGAAATGGATGGATTTCACTCCCTAACCTTTCCCTCGGCAGCCTATGCGCCTCCTACACTACCCACTGTACCCCAATCCACCCTCCCCCCGCCTCCCCAAGGCACTTTCTTCTCATTGTGTTTTGGAGTCCAAAGGAACTGACTTCTAGAATCCTGGATGAGGCTATTCACAGCCCCGGGGGGGGCCTTGCTTTTTGAGCTGCGACTTTTTAAGTCTGTAATAAATTAACTCCACTCATCTAAACTTCTCTGCCATTGTTAATTCCAGCAAAATACCTGCATTTTTTCTCCCTCCTGAAGAGTCTGATTCTTCTGTTCTGCCATCAGCTCGACAATCACCTCCCCCTGTAGCAGCTGAATGCTAGTATTGCCCAGGTCTTCACTCACAAAATTCTCCAGGTGCAGCCCTGCCAGGGGCAACAGAGTTCCCCATCCCATCCTATGGAAGATGAAATCACTCCCAGCCAGAACAGAGACATCACACCTTTACCACTACCACCCCTCAGGTTTCAAGAACACCCCTCCCACCAGGAATGCCCCTCCCCCCTCTATCACATGCAGTGTCCCCGGCCAAGGAAGCCACAAGAAAAGACAGCAAAGCTTTCTCTGCTTTCCTCCATACCAGGGAAATCTGCAATGAAGACCACCTCAGTGTGGTTGTCCAGGCTGCTCTTGATTTCTTGTAACTTGGTCCTCCAGGGAGACAAGTCCATCAACAGTGGCTGCAGCCAAGGTGTACGCTGGAAGGGGGACCAGGCGGCTTGCACGATGTCCACACGAGGATCAAAAATCCTTAGGAAAGAAAACCATGTTCTAAGGAGACCACAGCCACCTACCCATCGGAATTTCTGGTTCTGTTTCTTTCATCACTGTTCCCACATAGAGGGAACAGGGTTTCCAGATAGAAGAAATGGCTTTTGTCAGCATGTTATTGCCATTCTGGGGCAGAGAGAGAAAGGAAAGAGATTCTGGAGCACAGGGGAAGAATGGGGGTTAGTGGCCACCTGAGAATTGCGTTAACAGCTTCTTAAAGAAAAAAAAAAAAAAAAAAAGTCAGTTACCTTTTCTTCTGGTTGATGGTGCCCCCTGCTGGAAGCAATCAGCTATGCCCACAACCAGGTGAACAGGGACATGAACCAGAGGACAGCCTTTCAAGCAAGACAACACTGGGGAGCATGGGCTATTCATCTCGGCAAAAGGAGTGGGACTTCATTTTTCCCCTTCTCTGTTCCCCTTGCCCACCTCTGTTGGAAGCGGTCATTGATGGAGACCCAAATATCAAAGTAGATCTGGGGCTCAGTGACATTGTACTTGGGAAGCAGGTGGCTCAGGCAAGTGGCATATTGCTTCAGCATGTCTGCGTGATCCTTCCATCGCCGGCTCTGTGTGAATACCTGCCCCAAACCCCCACATTAGTCCCACCTCATCGTTATCAACCTCCCAGAAAGATCATGCACAGCCAATGGCACTAAGAGATCCCTGCCTGGTGCCTGCTTTGACCAGGAAAAAAAAACCCTGAACTTGTCTTTGGGGAAGAATTTTTCATTGCTGGGCTTTTTAATACTTATTTCCTAAACCTAGTTTCAATTCCAAGAAAGTGAATGGCACTGTCCTATTTCAACTTCGACAAAAGCAGAGTCAACCTGGCTCCTGAGAAAGGGCAGAGCAGACCCAAATGTGTTTTATAATTATGTTTAGGATCAAACCAGACCCCGAGGCTCCAGGAAGCTCTGAAGAAGTGTAAGCCGTCAACATCAGGTGGCTCACCCCAGGGTTCAGGTAGCCCAGCTCGCCGGTGCGGCCGTCCCGGTAGGTGATCTTCACGTGCTGGTGGGAGCGCGAGTGCACCATCATGTCCCAGGAATAGCCGTACAGCCCATTTGTCCAGTTGTTATAGCCCTGAGAAGGCAGGGCAGAGGCAATCAGCCCGCTGTTCTCGTATTATCCCCATGCCCCGCCAACACAGGGCTGCAAAACCAGCCCCACACCTTCCCTAATGCTGTGCCCTCTGCCACCTCCCAAGCTAACCCCCAGGCCACACACACCTGGGTGAGGAAATGGGAATAGGGCAGGAAGAGCTGCTCCAGGAGGTAGAGCAGGGTGAAGGCAGCACCGAGCTGGTGGCGCAGCCCTGGCTTCTGGCCACCCTTGGCCCGGCTCCTCTTATACACGCAGGACTCGCTGGGCTGAGGGGCAGCCTTGAGGGGCAGTAGTTCCTGCAGCCTTTCGGGGAAGCGAGATACTAGCTTCCGGGGCCACTCAGGGGAGCAGAAGAGAGGGCTGCTGGCCAGCATGACGTAGGGGAACATTCCTAGAGAAGGAGGGAGGAAATAAGCGTTTCAGGAGTTTGGCTGGGGGGGAGCCTGGGTAATCCCTCAAGCCCTCTCCTTTAGGAAGCCTCTCCCAGGTATTCCGCTTGTGATGAGAGCAGCTCGTAACTAGAGGCGTCTTACTTCCCCGAGACTCCTTACTCCGCAACATACTGGCTGAGCCCAGAGGCCCCAGTCCTCTCCTCCCGTTGACTGCCATTTCAGTGACTGCACCTGGCTCAACGCAGCTCCAGCTGCCACCGCCATGTCCCACTCCCCGCACACCTGTGGCTTCCCACCTCCTACCAGACCACCGGTACTGACCAATGCTGAAGAGCTGGGAATTCATGCAGTGGAAGTAGGACACGAAGAGGAGGCCAATGGACCTCGAGGCATCAAAAAAGAGCAGGAAACCAGCTGAGAGGTCGAGCAGCAGTCCGCACCAGTGCACCACTAGCAGACTGGTCATCTCCTCGGACAATACCAGTCTGCAGACACCAGAGACAGAGGTCAGGCACCGGCCCACTGCAGAACCCAGCATTCACAGCACATTCGCGGCCAATGCGCCCCTGCTCACCCTGTCCTTGCCAAAGGAAGCACCCTAGCAGGTGCGCACAAGAACTCTACATGAAGACACCCTATGGTAGAGTTTCCAACCCCCTTTCCTTTCCACACACTTTAGGTGTTCAATTTCTTTTCAATATACCCTATGTGCTAACCAAGGGCAGATTTCCTAGGGCAAATCTGATGGAGAAGTGAGTGTATTTGGTGGTGGCGGGGAGGGGCGGGGGTGGTAGATTCTTCACGGAGATTATAAACGAGAAGAAACTTCAAAAGGTGAGGGGGCGCCTGGGTGGCTCAGTTGGTTAAGCGACTGCCTTCGGCTCAGGTCATGATCCTGGAGTCCCAGGATCGAGTCCCGCATCGGGCTCCCTGCTCAGCGGGGGGTCTGCTTCCCCCTCTGCCCTCTTCCCTCTCGTGCTCTCTGTCTCTCATTCTCTCTCTCGCAAATAAATAAATAAAATCTTTAGGGGCGCCTGAGTGGCTCAGTTGGTTAAGCGACTGCCTTCAGCTCAGGTCATGATCCTGGAGTCCCGGGATCGAGTCCCGCATCGGGCTGCCTGCTGGGCAGGGAGTCTGCTTCTCCCTCTCCCACTCCCCCTGCTTGTGTTCCCTCTCTCACTGTGTCTTTCTCTGTCAAATAAATAAATAAAATCTTTAAAAAAAAAGAAACTTCAAAAGGTGAATGCCTAACATAATAAAATCAAACGTTTGGAACTGGGAAATAACAGGGAAGAGGAAAAAGAACAAAGTAAAATGTGAGGAAAAAACACGGGAGGAAGCGAGAAATCAGGATTTTCTAAAGAGGTGGCAACAAAGCTTTGGCAGGGCAGGGACGCCGACTGTCCATCTTCTAAGTCTGCTGGCCCAGAAGTCCTGGCGAGAGGCTGGGGTGGCCACCCAACGACATGGGCCCCACCCACAGCAGCGGCTGGGAGCTCGGACTCATTCACCAAATCACCTTATTCTGATTCTTTCCTTTTGTTTTTTAGTTTTTTCCCTTCATTCTGGGCCCTACCACACGTCTCCTAGATACTCTGCTAAGACTGACTCCGCCTTCTGCTAAAGAGAAAGATGAGCGGACAGAGGAAAGCATGTGGCCAACTGAGGCAAAGCAGGACCAGGAGCTGTCCCTGCAGACCTGAGGCAGGCGAGTTCCCCGCTGTGTACCAGTGCCACAGCAAGAGAGCTCTGCTCTGCCTGCCACTCACTTGAAGGGACCGAAGAGCCAGTGCCGGGACAGATATTCCATGGAATAGCCCTCAACCCAGTCCGCGTCCAGCTTCTTCACACCCGCAATGAAGTACACGATGAAGATCTGCAAGCGCAAAACGCAAAGTGAATGTTCAAACACAAAAGAACATGGTTTTCTACAGACTATCACAAATGACCTAAGTCCTGATCTGAGTTCAGGGCCTAAAGAAGATTTTGATTCATTCAGTTCACTCATCTGAGGTCTTCACTCATCCAACAAGTATTTAGGGCCATTCTGCCAATGCCAGGCACAGTATTCGGTCCCAAGGGAAGTCATGAAGCACAGATCTCTCTTAAGGATGCTCATCTAGGGGCGCTGGGTGGCTCAGTCATTAAGCGTCTGCCTTCGGCTCAGGTCATAATCCCAGGGTCCTGGGATCCAGCCCTGCATCGGGCTCCCTGCTCGGCGGGAAGCCTGCTTTTCCCTCTCCCTCTCCCCCTGCGTGTGTTCCTGCTCTTGCTATCTCTCTGTCAAGCAAATAAATAAAATCTTTAAAAAAAAAAAGGATGCTCATTTAGCAGGGCCAAAGCTCTATTCTTTCCATGATGAGGTGAGAGAACCCAGAGACTAGGGGATTGGCAATGAAAGAGTCAGCCTCGCTTTCCAGCAAAAGGGAAAAAAGGGAAGATCCAGGGAGGCAGAGTACAGAGCCACCTGGCAGCAGGATGGTCGTGCTGACGATGGCTGTAGAAGAACACCCCCCTCTTTCCAAAAATCCTGTACCTGGCCACGCAGCACAGCATAGTTCCAAAGGGGCACGTGGGCATTCCGCTTACGGGCATTCAGCAGGCCGTCAACAGACCTACACCGAGGAAGTGAGGATTAAGGAGAGCTGCTCAGTCCAGCACATTTCCACCTTTCTCAGTGTAATAATCTATCTATCCCAGGATATCCCCACATCCTTTCTGGTCCTCTGGGATCTTCTGAGGCTCTCCAGAATTATATAAGCAAATTTAACAGTGCTTATTTTCAGTCATAACAGAAATGTTACTAGTGGGTTAGAACAACACACAGTTCAGTGTTTACCATTAGTTAGTAAATTAGTTGGTCTTAATGGAACAAATCAGGAAAAGGATTACAATGCTTCAGAATATGACTGAATTTGAAAAAAGAATGCATTTGAAGGAATGTTTGAAAAGCTCAAGATGTATGTAACTATATAGTACATTTAAGAAAAAAAAAATTCAATATCCAAAACAAACTGACATCTCAGAGACCTAGATGCCAGGATCTAGTGCTGGAGCTTACCTTGGGAGAGAACCTATAAACCCAAGATACTAAGACTACATGTATTCTGGGGAGGTGGAAGCAAAGCAGGTTTCAAGAAGACAATGAATGAGGTTGGGAAGGGGTTTGGGAAAGGGGCAGCTTATACTTGTGGTTAAGAGCCTCATGGCACTGTAATGAGGAAAAATTTAAAGTGTTTAGTGCCTGGCCATGTGGAAAGTCCTGAGTAAGGGATAAGTATTTTTTCAAATTGTGTAAAAATTATAAAAATGAAACTTTTCAGGAGTATTCTGTCAAAACTGTCTCTTGATTTTTTTACAAAGGGTATCTGTAGGTAAAATTAATGACTGATAAATCACTAACAAATTCAATGTTTGAGATTTTTTTCTCTATACCCATCTTACTGACATCTCCTATTTCCTTTTCACTTAATGGGAAGAATCCCTAGAGGTTATCTGCCCTGCCACCCTGTCTCCAAATCCCTTCACCACCTCCCCTGAGAGATGGTCACCTAAGCCAGAGGTGGGGGAGGGTTACCTCCTCCCAGGACAGCACTGCTGAGCAGCCCTGGTGGGCCCTCTCCTTCTGACATGACTCTGCCTTACAGCAGCTTCTACTCTTGGCTCTAACTCTGCCCCTCTGGGCTCACACAGAGAAAGTCTGCTCCCTCTTCCACAAGACCACCCTTGAAGTATCTGAAAACATCTATGTCTGGCTTTAGTCTTCTCTTCTTCTCTCTAAGTGGATTACAGGAAGTAGATAGATCAAGGCACCTGGGGAGATATGGAAAGAGTGAAGGGGTGGGAATGGAGCCGTTCTGCTTTTTGTCATCCCAAGTGCCCCAACCTCACTGACCCTTCCCCCTCCCAAATTCATCCAGACCAAAGTGTGACCCTATAACCACACTTTGCAAAGCGTGGTTGAAAATATGCTTGCTGGGGGGCACCTGGGTGGCTCAGTCGTTAAGCGTCTGCCTTCGGCTCAGGTCATGATCCCAGGGTCCTGGGATTGAGTCCCACATCAGGCTCCCTGCTCAGCGGGAAGCCTGCTTCTCCCTCTCCCACTCCCCCTGCTTGTGTTCCTGCTCGCGCTGTCTCTGTCTCTGTCAAATAAATAAATAAAATCTTTAAAAAAAAAAAAAAATCTTAAAAAAAAAAAGGAAATATGCTTGCTGGGGCAAATTCTAGAACCTCACCGGGCCCCTACCACTGGTAACCATCCTGACCCAGCCAACCCCTTCCCCTTTCCCCTAGAATCATACCAGTAGTGGTTTGCATCCATGAATGTTAGCTGAAAGGCCAACAAACCATACAGATAGGAGTGGTTGTTCCATGACGTCTTGTCCAGGAGAAACACATACCAGTATGGCAGCAGGAATAACACACAGCTCATCCGGTAGCACAGGCCCAGCATCATGCCCAGGGCCCCTGGGATTTGTGGGGGAGAGGATTAAGAGGTCAAAGGGTCACCACAGGCCCAGCTCCCCCGGGACAGGCTGTGGGTGGGATTAAGAAAAGTCATCGGACATTTTATAATCATAAAACCAAATGAAAATCAAATGTTATTTTAGTATTTTAAAAAGACTTATGGGGGTCACAGCTCAGATGACACAGGTCAGCGGGATGAAATTAAAGAGTCACAGCAGAAGTGAAATAATGAACCCAAGACTTTGGTCATTCACCAGCATGCTTTGTATTTCTATGGTTTAGGTAGGCCAGTCAATACTCCCATCTCTCCCATACTTTTCCTCACCCAGAAACATGACGGTATAGACAAGATACATCCAGTCAAGTGGTAGTGGCTGCAGGGCGTCCAGCAAGGGGAAGCGGCACACATCTAGCCCATCCAGGTATCTTCGGTCCAGGGAGCTGAGCCCCCGTTCTTGGGGAATGTCCAACACCATCATCAGCCCTGGGAAGGCAGTCGAGGAGGGGCCATTAGGCCTCAGCAAAGGAAGCAGTGAAATACACTGGAATACAGCTGGATGCACCCAGCTCCAGGGTCAGACTTCTTACCTAACCCTGGCTCTGCCATTTATTCATTCATTCAACAATAATTACTGAGAACCTGCTCTGTGCTAGGCATTATGCCAGCTGTGTGATCTCAGATAACCACTGCACCTCCCGGAGCCAACTCCTCATTCCCTATTTGAGAAAGGGACTCATAATATATAATTTACAGGGTTACAGGGGGCGCCTGGGTGGCTTAGCCAGTTAAGCATCTGCCTTTGGCTCAGGTCATGATCCCAGGATCCTGGGATGGAGCCCCACATCGGGCTCTCCGCTCAGCAGGGAACCTGCTTCTTCCTCTCCCTTGGCCCCTTCCTCTGCTTGTGCGCTCTCTCTCTCTCAAATAAATAAATAAAATCTTTAAAAAGAAATTTTCTAGGGTTACAAAGAGGATTAAATGAGAGAAGTGTACAAAATGCTATAAAAGCTGTTCGGGTTTTGATAATTTAAGGTCTGTCCTATGAAGCCATAAAAAGTGTTCTAGGGTGGTGCGTCTCAACTTTTTTCACTTCTTAGCACACCCAGAAAACAGTATTTGGCTTACCACACTAGAGCAAACAGAAGGGGCTACTCAGGTCAGGAAGCCAGTTCCAGTTAAGGCAGGGTTTCTCAACCTCAGGACTACACACATTTTGGGCTGGTTAATTATTTGCTGGGAGGGGCTATCCTGTGCATCATAGGTCACTTAGCAGTATCCCTGGCTCGTAAGTAGACACCAGTAGCCACCTATTTCCCTTCCCTCAAGTTGTGACAAATAAAAATGTCTACAGACATTGCCAAATATCTCCTGGAGAGCAAAACTGTCACCCTTGAGACTGGGCTAAGGGAATTAATACCTTAGCACATCTGTAACCCATTCCAAGCATACATGCTGTGGCCTATGAGTTAGGAAACTCTGGATTAGGGAGTCACAGCCAAAATGTCTGCCCTATTACGCCTGTTATTTCTCTGAGGTCTGGTCCTGAGTATAGTTACTGGGCAACTTCATGCCACAAGCAAGATGGGTCTCTGGTCATCTGCCTCTGTATTTCCTATGGCCTCAGATCAAAGTATTTCTGGCCTCCAAACCCTAATCAGAGGAGACAAAGGTGGATTTGATCCTATATACCACAAATATCTCTTCCAGGAAATCAGTATCTATCTTCAGCTCTGAAGGAAAGGGAGGCAAGTCACTAAGTAAGTAACCAAGAAATGCACAAGGGACGATGGTTATTCTTCCACCCATCACCACACTGGCCCCTCCAGAAACCCGATTTACCAAAGAGAAAACGGAAGACAGCCAGGCTGGCAGGATCCGTTGGTCGATTCAGCAGGGTCACCAGCCTTCCCCAGCTGGAAACATCTGTCCACTCAAACCCCAAGAGTGTCCCCATTCCGCTGCCCTGCCTGGGCCCTGAAGACTGTCCAGCCTTGTCTTTCTGTACTTTATCTGCAAACAACAAACAGAAAGTGTATGCGCAGGTGTGGGGACGGAAATGCTTTAAAATCGGCTCCTCCCCAAATCACAGAAATCACGGCCCCTACAGCCCCAGGGTTTCTTCGAAGCTACCAGGGTTCTCCCCCTGATTTCTGACTACTAGAAACACCCTCGCAGTGCCAGATCCTTCTGGATCTCCCAATGTCCCAGAACCTCTCTCAGACTGCAGCCCCCAACCGCAAAGCGCCCCGAGGGTCATCATCACCCCAAAGCCCCGGACTGCAATCTCTCTCTACAAGCCCCTTCCAGAGACCCCTTTCCCGGAGTCCCACAGGAGAGTCCTACCGCCCCCACCCCTTTGAGACAGAGTCCCTCTCTCTCTCCGCCGCATGGGAGGACTCTGAGCCTACGTGAGTCCGGCGGGACCCGCGCGGACCGGGCAGACACCGCCATGGCACCGCGGAGGTAAGACGGCCAAAGCAGCGGCGCCCAAGCAGCTGCGCCCAAGCACAGAGCGTCGGGAGGAATCACTTCCCTAAGCCCCGCCTCCCCGACGCATCAGCCCGCGCGCGGCCGGCCGGAAAGCGCTAGGTCTGTCGTGAAGGGCTCCCGCCGGCGGCGCCTGCTCCCTGCTTAGCGGCAAAGGGCGGAGCGAGGAGCTTTGGGGCGGGGGGAGAGGGAGCCCGGGCTGGTCTCACCTTACCCCGTGACGGAGGAGGAGCGAGGGCACCCCCAGACGAGCTCGTTTTCAGCCGCCAGACCAGTGTCGCCATGAAGCGTCCCAAAGGCTCCTGGTGCTTTCAGCACTAAGAAATCTCAGAGTCGTGACAACGTCCCTGCCATCCCCCCGC